TATATATATATATATATATATATATACGATGTCAGTACAAAATCCCATGTTATAATCGATTTAAATGCTAAAATATCATTCGTCGATACCACTCTTAATATATATTGATATCTGTTTTCCCTGGTCCACGATAGCGGAATGCTTTTATCATGGGAGTATAATGTTCTTACACAATATGACGCAATCTCCTTGTGTATGCAGTTGACTAACAGAGGAAAAAAGCGAAAGTGCAGTGAGTGTAGTGCAATTCTTAAGCAAGATCATTTTTAGATAACTGCATGATTTAGAAATGAAAACGGATGCAAGCGATCCTTGGCGTGGAACGCGTGCGGAAGCTGCGGTCGACGACGACACGCCGAACGATCGTTTTGAAGATTCTTTCTTGGACGAAGACCGTCCAAGTCACCGCCGATTGTCCGACTCTGAGCAATATCTACAAAAGCTGTGTAAGAATGACTGATTCACGCCTTTGATTTTTTTCTATGATCTCTAATTCTTTTCTGATAATTCTAATTCCTTTTCTGTGACAGATTCTAGGTTGAAAGTACTTCAGGGAGGTACCACAAAAAAGGATCTTGTGACGTCGTTATCAGTGGCAAAGGAGGACTGCATCGCGCGTTTAATCACCTCTGGGAACAATCCCCAGTCTGAAGAAGAAGCTGAATTGGCGTCGAATCCTCTAGTACGGCACATAGCTCCTCATCTGCAGGTGAGCATCTGGATGATAATGGTCAATAATAATAATAATGATATGATTATGATAATGATTGAGAATATGATTCTTATGACATTTATTTGCTAAATCCAGGCCATAAAGATTTCTTCTAAATTGCGTGTTGTATAAGAATCTTTCAAAATAATGAGCAATAAAATCCTTAGATTCTAAGGCTTAGAATTTAGAATATAACATATACATACATCTGTCTATATATCAATCAAATGTCAACACAATATGTCTATGGGTATGGTCAATGCGATGTCGAAAATGCTTTGAAGCGTTTTTTAATTAATTTTTAATAAGTCAGTTTGTAAAATTCTTTCTTCTAATTTATCCATCAAATGCTTCAAAGCATTTGTAGTGAGACTTTGACCACAACCTATATATCAGACTATATATGTTTATCATTTATCAGAATTTTATCTGGGTAATTATTTAGAATATTCCTTCCCCCCTCCCCCAACCTCAAATCTTAATATAAATACACTTATCTGACATGTTTTCATTCAAAACGAAAGAACCTGGCAAGAAAATGCAGCGATACTTTAATTATACAAAACAAATTCACTGTTTTAAAAACAGAAATTCACTGCTTTACAAATAAAAATTCACTTTAAGCTCACTCAAATTCTTTGCATTAGCAGTGAATTTGTATTATTAAAGCAAAGAATTTGTATTTTTAAAGCAATGAATTTATGTTTATAAAGCAATGAATTCGTGTTTTTAAAACAGTGAATTTGTTTTTTAAAGCAGTAAATGTGTTTTTAAAGTAGTAAATTTGTGTAATTAATGCAGAATACGTATAACATATACACAGCGCTATATTTGAATCAGGATAACAAATCAACCTATAAAGTCTCCAACTTTAACGCTTAATAATTCGATTCACGAGGCCAACTGCGGCGTTTTTTTTTGCTACATTCTTTCGTTTTGAGTGAAAACGTATCGAATGAGTATATTTTTATTAAGATTTTAGATGGGGGGGGGGGGAGGCTATTCGAAATAATTACCCTTATTTGTAACAGAGTCTTATCAAAGTTTTATTTTGTTTGTAAACATATAATATTGATATTTATGTTGTAGGCTTTAACAGCCAGCGAATTAGTTCATCTTCTGAAAGCAGATGTACTTCAAACAACCATACAGGCGGAGCAAGAACAAAATAATACAGAGGAATTACAAATAAATCCATCAACAGAGCCATCAACAGAATATAAGCCAGAGCTTAATAATTAGTTTCCATAAATTTACAACATAAGACAACCATGTCGATTGAAGCATTGTCTGGCAAAGTTTTTCTACTGGTAACTGGTGCAAGTCGTGGAATCGGTCGCCAAATTGCGATAACATTTAGTTCGATGCTGGAGGAAGGCTCGCGTGTTCTTTTATTAGCGAGAAATAAAGATGCGTTGCAAGAAGTCGCGAAAAATATACCTTCTAAAATAAAAGTTTGTACTATTAGTGCAGATTTAAGTAAATCAACTGATACAAAGTTCGAAGGTAAATTAAAAAAAAGTTTCCATTTTCAAGCGTTTTTTTAAATACAGATATAATCGCTGAAAAAAAATGTATTTCTTTTATAATGTTCTAGAATTTCTATCGGAATCTTTGAAGGAAACTACTCCCGATGCGTTTGATCGAATGGTTCTAATACATAATGTAGGCTCCATGGGCAATATTTCTCAAGCTGTAAATGACATATGGGACCTGCTGTATTAAATACGGTGGTCATGAATATATTTAATAGTAAAACTATTAAGAAGATGGTTATCAATATTACATCTTTGTATGCAATTCAAGCAGGCGTTGGTTGTGGTCAATATTGCTCGGTGAAAGCAGCACGAGAAATGTACTTTAAGGTATACATACATGTTTTTTAATATATTCTATCCATGTAATCACGAAATAGATATATTTTTTTTCAATATGCTTTTTTCTTTGTACAGGTTTTTGCTTTAGAAAACCCCGATGTGAATGTATTGAATTATGCACCTGGACCTGTCGACACGGATATGTTTACAATGGTTTGCGAAAAAATAATTGATCCCAAAGCTAAAAAGGCATTTAATGAGATGCGAGAAAAGAAAACTGTATTGACCACAGAGCAGACTGTTAATCGCCTTGTGCAAGTCTTGAAAGAGCATAAGTACAATTCGGCCGATCATGTGGATTATTATGATAAGTTGTGAAAAGTAAAAATAACATTATTTATAGAGAGAAATTTTCAGTAAATAAATTTATTCTTTTATATTGAAAATAATTTTGCTTTATATTTTTAAAGATGAAGAAAGTGAACTTACGAAATAATATAAAAATATACATAGAATTTCTGTCTCTATAAATACTTGATCTATGCAACATACTTTATCTGAGAGACCTCCTAGGAATATCTTAGGACGTTCGTAAAACATAAGAACATTCCTTGAAAATCTGTGCTGTTTAGGTAATATGTACAATTTTTCTTTCTTGTTAAATAAATAACCAAAGTTAATAATATTAGAATAACAATTAATGTATCTACAAAGAAGTTGTGCAATTTTATTTTTAATTTTTTTTAAGTCTCAAGTTAAGTCATAAAATGGTTATCATATTTTTATGTGCCTACTTTAATTTCATATGAATTCTATTTTGTACTTTCGCTTGTAAAATATTGCAATATAAAAAAATGTTAAGAATGTCCATAAAAATACATATATATGAAAAGTACTAACACTTTCTTTCCTCCGTCATAAAAACAGATTACACATCGAGCATCAAATTATAAAAATGCGAGGCCATTAATTGGAAATTATTTACAATAATTAAAACATTTAAAAGAGTATATATACATGGTTTTTATTCACAAATCTAAAAATCTATAAATATACAATAAAGAATACTTTACATATTGTTAAAAATATACGAGAATATTTCTTCTTACATTTAGCTAATCATTTGATTTATTTTGAGCAGGGACATTTGTGCTTGTGTCTTCTTGATAAGATATCAACGAGTCATTACTATCTTCTGTTATTGGAATATAAGACACGGTGATGTTTTTTATTACTTGTATTTGAATATATATCAATATCACAATAGTTATGACGTAAAATACTGTCGATAAAAACCACACTGGAAGAGGATATAAAGGTGGCATGTAGTGGGAGTACAGAAAAGTATACAGAGAATCTGCTGCAAATGGTAACAGTGTCTCTAGAGTCATAGCTACAGAGAAAATCTTTCCTGTTGAAATAAATACATTTTTTAATATACTCTTTACAAGATTAATGTAAGTATTTCAGAAAACCATTAGAGATTGTACACAGAATAAGAATATTTTATCTGGCACGAACCTATCTAGCAAACAGCAACAAATAGTAACATAAACCTTAATTATAATTTCTCATTTAACATTTGTTATTATATAATTATATATTATATTAGAATTATATTATTAAATAAGAAATTATATTAACAGTTATGTTATTGTTAGTTGCTTGTTAGGTGCTTGCTAGATAAGTTTTCTTTCTTTTTATAGTTCATTTTATAACCATTTATTAAAATCAAAATAGAAGGTTTTACCTGCGTCCTGCACAGGTACTGCCTTGGATAATATAGCACGTATCATCGGTCGAGATATGTCACCAAACATTCCTAGAACCATTGATAAATACATATGCCAAGACAACCATGTAAAGGCACGTATCAAGGCACTACCAAAAGACGATATAATAGATATGATAGCAATTACAGTCTCTGGAAATCCTAAATCATTCATAAATTCTTGATAAATTATTACAACAAATAACGAATTGTGTTAAAGTATTGTTAAAGCGAACCTGCATATTTCCGCATTACTTTGATACCAATTATCGTACCAAGTGCTTGCACTACAATATCTGCAGCATTATAAACAGAATACTGTTGCATGGTCCAGCCAAGCCGCGCGCTTGCGAACAGATATCCAATACTGAGATAGCCTTCAAAGACAATCAAGAGAAATGAAAGACAAGCTACGCAGCTCCAGACTAATGATCTATTGAATCCGTGTCTCTTCCTAACACACGTATCAATAAGATCTTTTATTAACGTTAAGTCAAATATATTGCAGATACCCTGTAAAGATAAATAAAAGCGATGATTATTCGCTATTCATTTGAAATATTCATTATAATTCATCTTCTAATAATCTAGTCTCTAATTGTAATTTGGATTGTGCGTCTACTTCTTTCAAATTGACTTGACTTAATGAACGCTTTGAAACACCTACGGAAGTTTGACTCTGTACAGTTTCCGGGACAAAAAGTAATATGTACAATGTTGCCAGAATGCAGAGCACAGTCGCAACACTGAATACAGCAGTGTAACCGCATGCGTCAAATATCGCTGGACCAGAAAGCAATCCAATTAATAGACTGAGAGAAATCAACGTTTGTAAAAAGGCGAAATGCCATGCTCGCTCTTTATCGTCTATTATATCAGTGATGTAACACGTTGAAGCTAATAGCAATACGCTTAGGCCACCAAAGAGAGCAACAGGAATATAGGCTATCAGGAAATACCAAGGTACAATATCCCAATTAGCCATTACAGAGAGTAGAATATAAGTTAAAGATACACCTAGAATTACGAAAACTGTGAACAACTATTACATTTCCTAAAAGCATCATGGATTGATCGTAATAATAATAATACGTGAATTATGAAATTTTTTATATTATATAACTTGCAGGATTATATTCTCTTATCTCTGTTACTATCTATTATAATTCAGTTATTATAATTCAATATACAATTGAAACAAAATAAAATTGAAGAGCTCTGAGAATTCATCATGTAATTTTTTTCTCTGAAGTGGAAATAGTAACAATTTTTAAATATGTATGTATTCACCTTTTACGTTTCGGCTCTAGGAAAAAAATTACATATTTGACTCCCTGAATCAAATTGGATTTTAAGTAATAATAGTAAATTACAAAGGAATCACATCACAATAGTATTTCCAATTATTTCTGACAATACATTATATTATCAAATTTTATATTTTATATCATCGTAATATTTTCCATCATTAATGACTTTTTTCATAATTTAAAGTTATTACTTAATTAGCAATAAATCCCAGCTTAGCTCAAAGCCTAAATTTGCTTTAAATTTGCTTTAAATTTCAATTTCTATTGAGACTTTATTTCAACATTATAATTTAATTTCAATATATACTTCTAAAAACAATAAAAAGTTTCTCTCACAGTTCTCTTTTACAATGATATTCATACATCAACAAAAATCTAATTACACAACTGAATATTTGAACCTTAATGATTTCTAAACTAGATCTTTAGTGCTTAAATAAAAATATAATTACTCATATATCCAGAAAGCATAAGAGGCTTCCTGCCATATTTATCACTCCATGGACCCAGAAATAACATTAGCAATGATGGAGTAATGCTTTCTATGAAGGATTTACCCATTATAATGTTGGCCACGTATGGTTGGGCCAAACTATTAATTTTGAATGCCTCCTTGCTAGTGCTATTGTTATGAAATATAAGGCACTCTGTTTCGTTTAATTTCAATGTTACGAGGCATGTACGATATACTAGCAAATCTGTGAAAATAGTACCTGCAAAAAAATACGTCATATAGCCAGTGTACTAAGATGAAATATTATAGTTTGTTACCTGACATCGACAAAGAGATCAATAGCAGCATTAGAGGCGGTTGCACAAATAAATAATATCTCCATTTTTGTAGAATTCGATCCATAATTTTCTCTAATATTTGTCGAAAACTAAATACTCTCTAGGCGGTAAACAGTAACGAATGCTTGATAAAACAGTCTGCAAGCGGATTTAATTCCAAAGTCGCTTTATTTGATGTTGTAATAATTAGGAATTGCTGATAAGGAACTATGATATACTCATTGTCAGCCTTTCTTGTCTCTTGTCCGAATCGTTCCTTTGTTGGAAAATTGTATATGTACATAACTTTGAATCCATGTGTATGAGTGTGCATATCTGTGCATGTTGCCATATATTTTTCTCACTCTCCAGACGTAATCACTGGTAAATATAATCACTGGCGAAATATAATTGTGATCAGCCGACAACATATTTTCCAATTAGCGCACGAGTGATACATATATATATATAGCATAATTCGTATTTTTTCAAATTACAGCAAATTATTGCGCGAGATATGTTTTTTTTATTGTAGAATGTAGAACATATATGAGAAAAGATCGCGCGTTTGACAAGTCAGTCAATCAGCTGATCGTAGGGATCGTAATTTGACAATACTTCAGTGGAGACTCGAACTATTTAGTTTCAGAGACATGGTGCTAATACAGCACCAGGTGCAGTCTTAAAGTTTCCTGGATTACTAACATCAGTATACCAGCCTTGACGTTCTATATTACCAACAATGCTCATAACATCTCTGAAAATTTTTACATTACCAATTTATCTCAATAGAGTGTGTCTTCCAACAAGCGACACAAATGACACAATGGATCATTACATCCTAATGTAAACAAAGATTAATGTTAAACACAGATGACACTGTGTGATGATCACTGTGTGATCGCATCGTGTCGCTTGTTGGAAGGCACACAGATATTATTGTGTTAGAAATTCACATTGCCAAAGAGAGATCATGACGGTCTTTTTCCTGTTATTGTCGAAATCTTCTGTACATTACCGTCAGTACATACACCACCATCCATTTTCAATTTGGAAACTGTGTGACTACATATATTTTTTGACACTATCGATAAAATCGTATCGTTGAAAATAAATGTGGTTCGTCTCTGTACTAAATCCTCAAGATAGAAACGTACCAATATCCATAGGAGGCATTTAATGGATCCTTGAACAAAAAAATTTTAATTTTGCATCTCATGTAAATAAAAGTTGTTGAATTTTAATAAACGAAATTGAAAATTCAAACAAATAATTTTTTTTTAATTTAATGTTATCTTATTTAATTTTATCTTATAACATCTTATAAAATTACGAAGTTATGTTTCTTTATGCAAATTTTCAGTTCAATTTTTACTAAACATAAACATTACTATAGTATATTTTTTTTATTTTAACACACAGACAGAAACATTGACACATGACGGAATCATTCACGTCTTATTCTAAAATAAAAGTATATACTCGTAATTATGTTTGGTAACTTCGTAATTTTATAAGGTATTATAAGACAAAATTCAC